ACGCAGGGAGTGGGTGCACTCACCACCCCCAATCAGGCAAGTTCCCAAAGGAACACATTCCCACTATGTCAGGGCTGGTACCCGCTGAGCACTCCCTGTGCAGGCGGGCCGCCACCCCCGACTGCGCTCTGTCTGTCATCACCCCCGTCATGTGCACATGTGCATGTGTGTCACTCAGGGAATCAGCAGGTGAGAAAGACGGAGAGCTGCCAGCCTGAGGGCTTGGCTGGGTCAGGTGGGAGGAGAATCGGCACCCAAAATAAGAGGACATTGCCCCAAAGAAAAGTGCTCCTCTATAATGACTGACACATAGTAGGTGTGCGTGCCCAGTAGAACCAAGAGATGGGCACTCTTGGTGCTGCCGCCTTTGCAGAGAAGCTGTTTGACACTTTGCTGCTCCATCGTGCCGCCGGTCTGTGCAGGGAAGGTCCTCTGGAGACTGTCCTGGGGCCAGAATACAGCGGGATGTGTTTGGAAAGCTGTGGGTTTTCCTCCCCAGGATGGCACTAGGAGTACTTAGCCTGGCTGTCCCCTGTTCTTGCAAGAAAAGTCCCTAAGGACCCTCAAGTTTTATGAGCCTGCATACAAGCAGCTTGAGGGAGAGTCCCAGAAGCTGCGAGTAAGGTAGAGAGAGAAGAAAAGGGAGGAATTCTCCCTCTCACACAGGTACCTCCTGCTGAGAGGCAGCCACGTGCACACTGGAGGAGGACTCAGTCACACAGCCACAACTCAGGCTGAACTGGCAACTTCCCACGTGGGGTTCCTGAACCCCACTGCACGTGCCTCACGGCACTGGCTGCCTTTGGAGTTGTTGATTACTTTCTTCTTTTTTTAATCTCAAGAGACGCTTTAGTAGTTGGCTCTCCTACACTGGACAATTTTAAGGCTTTAATAGTGATGAATCAGAAGGAGATTGAAGCTCTAATTAGCATCAGAAAGAACCTTGCCATTTAGGGGGAGGGGAGCCTAAAGTCCTCTGCTTGCCCACTTTCTGCTGAGGTCTGTCCCCAGGCCTGTCTGGTGGTGCCATAGATCTGTTGACAGATTGGGGAGTTGAAGTGAGGATGGGGCCACCCGGGAGGCAGGATGGGAGGGCAGGTACTGAGACCAGAGGGAGAGGAGACAGGTGGAGCGAGGGTGGGGCAAATCTGTTATAAAAGCCTTGTGAATAATCCCCAGGAGCCATCAGGCTTTCTCCAGAAGAAACTTTTAAGGTGTCAGTCCTCTTTAAGAAGAGCCCCTAGGGCACAGTGCTGGGGTGCTGGTGTCCCCCAGATATTCTTCTCTTTGTCCCATTGTTGTCTGTAATGGTTCACTTTTTTTTTATAAAGCAAATCAGATAGAGCTGCACAGATTGAAAGGGGAATATCGAAATGAATTTTGGGGATATATATTTTTTTTTGTGGGCCCTCGCCAGCAGCTGGGGAACGAACCAGCGCTGCAGAGGCTGCGGGCAGCCTCGCAGCCCAGCGCTCAACCACTGCGCCACCAGGGGAGGCCCTGGGTATATATTTTTAACATGAGACCCATCTTACTCAAACGGTGGTCTTGATTAGTTGAGCATGTAGAAAGAGCTGACTTTGTTAGGTGCTAGGTACAGAAATGAGCAGACAGTTAATTAAGGTTCTTGCCTTTAAGTTTAAAGCAAAACCGAAGCATCCACACAAAGCACCCAATAAAATGAAACTAAGTATCACCGATATGTTCTAGAAGAATTGGAAAACCTATTTCCTAGTCTCAGGACCACTGAAGAGAGTTTTGCATTTCCCAGGTTGTATGTCCTAATAATGTTAATAGATTTTGGGCCTTCCTGGTGGTGCAGGCGGTTGAGTGCCACGCTGTGAAGCTGTCCACAGCCTCTGCAGCATCAGTTCGATCCCACCCGGCCAGCGAGAATCCCACATGGCACAGCAGATCTCTCCTGTCTCGCCCCCTGCTCCCCTCTGCAGTGTATTTCGTCAGTCTGCCTGTTCTGTTCCCCGCTCTGTCTCTGGTGAATCCTCTCACCCTCCTGTGCATCTGGCCTGTACCCCAGCACTTGTATAAATAAATAAATCTTAAAAAAAGAGAAAATTAAAAAAAAAATTAATAGATTTTCTTTTAGAAAGAGGGTTTCATAATCAAGACAGTTTATAAAATGATGAAATAACATTAATAATGTCCCCTTTTTTGATGGGTCTTCTCACAGGCTAATGGAAAGTATAATCTGTGTTTCCCAAGTGTCTTGGGTTAGAGAAGTTCGTTTTCCACATATTAACATTGTACAGATCACCAGCAATAACAACATAATTTGGGGAATGTTCTTCAGTCCCAACCTCTCTGGCAAATAGTTACCCCAATGAGATTGCTCTAATCTCTTTCAAATTGTATCTTAGTCCCTCCTGGGACACATAAAAGTCATAATTTCATTTTCACTATTGCTTATACCAACTGCAGTTCACCTTTAAAGTCGTAATTTCATCATCACTATTGCTGATACCAACTACAGTTGACTGTTGAATAACACGGCTTTGAATTGTGCAGGTTCACTTATATGTGGATTTTCTCAAACCTCCTCGTCCTCCTCTACTCAAAGTGAAGACAATGATGAGGATGAAGACCTTTATGTGGGTGCCCTGATGATCGTCTTAATAACATTTTCTTTCCCTTAACTTACTTTATTATAAAATTATGGTATGTAATACATATAACTTACAAAATATGTGCTTATCAATTGTTTATACTATTGGTAAGACTTTTGGTCCAAAGCAGGCTATTAGTAATTAAGTTTGGTTAGAGTCAAAAGTTGTACTTGCATTTGCAACTGCATGGAAGCTTGGCATCTCTACATCCCTCGTTGTTGGAGAGTCAACTGTAAATGTTTATTGGCAACCAAACAGTGATCTGGGTTCTGGGAGCACACTTACTCCTTGCTGCCAAACAACCTACCAAGGAGGAGTGGGTACTGGTTAGAGAGAATGAGGCTTGTTGATCTGGAGGCCACCACCCACCCACCCCCATCTGAGTCTTTACAGAATATTGTATTTATAATCATGAGAAAAATTATAGCTAGCTATACAAGGGTCATTCAATTTATCCTTCAACTCATAGGAAGACTCCAGCCTCCATAGCTCAGGAAAAAAAAAAAAACAACAACAAAAAAACACCTTCCTCTGTCCGTTTAAAAACTCTAGCAACCCTTGGTTCCTATTTCTACTCTTCCTTCTGATAACCTGGAGGAATTACTTCTGAGATATGACTCACATCTTTGTTTACTGACCAGACCTGTTTATACCAAACAACTAGATCTTACACACTGAAATTAGCAGGTCCTATCTGTGTCCCACTCAATGCAGAAGGTGTGCATTTCATTCTGTTTCATTTGCAACCTTTTCTCTCTGAACAATGTAGGGGCAAGACAAAAGGCCAAGTTTAGTGAAAGAAATTGTCTTAGAAGCTCTTTTTAATGGACAAATTTGTGCAATGATAGCTGCCATCATCAGTGAGAGGCTGTATTCTGTGGACTGATGTATTTGAATGGGAGGCATAAAGAAAACGAGATAATCTGGGAGACAGACAAGACAAAATGCCACAGAAGTCCATGGTGAACCATGAGGACAGTGACTCAAAATATATTTGCAAAATTTAGTAGTGAGAGAAAGGTTAATTTTGGATGAAACCCCTTACTTTAGAAATTCTGAGTTCAGATCTAATGTTTACTAATTTAGCCTGTGAATTTTTGACAATGTAAAATTGTAAATGTTTTGTATTTGACTTTGGCCTTGTTTCTCCAGTGAATTGAGAATAAAATATCTTTCAGAAACAGTGAGTTACAAATGGATATTAAAGTTTGGAGTGAGGGAGGATGGCGTTAGAGTAGGCTCAAAGCCCTGCCTACATAAAATGCAAGGCAAGCAGACCATTTAGAAAGATTTGGGGTTGATCTCATGATTAGGGAGAGTGAAAGTAAACTCAGTTGAGAGTCTTAAGTGTAAAGATGGCTATTCATAATGTTGCAAAACTGTTCCCAGGTCTTAATAAGACATCCTGCCAAGAGTTGCTTCTTTTGGCTAAGTCTGGTGGTATTACTCTCTTTCAAACCTCCACCATCCAAGTGCCTCGACTCGAACTTGTAGTTTTAGAATACAGAATACGGATTTCCATGATTTTTTCAGTTCACTGTGTTAGCATTAGAGCAAGCAAACCTAGATTTATTCCTTGTTTTATCCAGAGCTTTACTGGGGCCACACCTGGGCCAGATATGTGCTTTTGAGCTGTCATAGAAGAAGGAAAACCAGAGCTCAGGTCAAGGGCTGAACAAGATGTGAAAGAAACTCATGTCTCCCAAGGAACCCAGTCAATATCCTTTGAACAGAATGATGGATACAGCCTGCCGCTGTCTTTCTAAGAATTTGTCCCATTTAAAGTGCAAAGGCATAGAACCCATATCACCAAACATAAAACCAGAAATAGTTTGCATGACATTGGAAATGTATTTGGTCTTTTGGGGGTCCAGCTATGTCATAAGTTAAATGAGGCAGATGCATGTACTTCACTGTATGCATGGAATATAATGAATTAACCCACATTAACACCAAATTGTGAATGAATGAGACAACTTTGAATTGTATTGTGTTGTGCTTGTTACATCACCCTACCTGCAAGGCTGTAGGAGCTGCCTCCTCTTAACTGATTTTTAAAAAAGATTTATTATTTATGCATACAAGAACTGGGGTACAGGCCAGAAGTGCAGGGGGATGGCGGGTTGAGAGGATTCACCAGAGACAAGAGTTGGGAGCAGAACAGGCAGATCAACTGAAATACACTGCTGAGGAGAGCAGCAGACGAGACAGGACAGGTCTGCTGTGCTGTGTGGGTAGCTCCCTGTCCGGGAATGAAACTTGTGCTGCAGTGCCTACTGATAGCTACATAGTGCTGAGACTTAACCCCTTGCACCGCCAGGGAGCCCCCAGCTGATGTTTTTGGTGAAGTACTTAAGGAACCATTTTTCTTTCTTTCAGACCAATGATGCCTTAGGAGCCACCTGGAATTGGCTGTACTTCATCCCCCTCATCATCATTGGATCCTTCTTTGTTCTCAACCTAGTCCTAGGAGTGCTTTCCGGGTAAGCCAGATATTCTTCTCTTCTTAATCTTTTCTAACTATAAACTGATGCCCTTGACTTTTGGCAGATTCGTTTATTCAACCTCCATTTAGAAGACATTTGCTGAGCAGTCCCTATGTGCCAAATGCTGTTCTTGATACTGGGAATGCAGTAGTGAACCATTATTCTCATTGTCTTAATTATTCTAAGAATTAAAAAGTCTTTGGATCAGGTACAACATTGAACACAGAATCTAGTGAGAGTCATTAGCCATCCATTCTTTATTTGGTCATGTAATGGTAAAAGGCTATGTAAAATACTGTGCTGGTTGTTAGGGACATAAAGTAGAATAAGATACAGTCTTTATCTTCAAAAGATTCTAATCTATCACACACTGGACATCAAATCCCATCTTTGTGACTCTAATACATACTGGTTGGCAAGTACTCAATGCCTAGTATGTTCATGTGGCATGGATCACATGTTTCCTGCACTTATATTTTGCTGAAAGGACAGCACAAACACTTGAAACAGTTAGGAAATGGGGGTTCTTTACTAATATAAGATTCAGATATTTGGTTTGAGGGAAGGGAGAAAATTATATATATATGCAGTCATCAGGGATGGTTTCATGAAGGACTGGAATTTTGCTTGAATATAAAATGTGTCATAGGATAAAATTGAATATATTGGAGTGGACATTGCAGAAAGGGGAAATCCCCACAACATAATGAAAGATGAAGAAATGAGAGATCCTGGGGTGGAGGGTGGGTAACGAAGAGATTGTTATGCAACCTAACTTAACTAGAATGAAAAGTTCATTTTGGAAAATCTAGCCATATAAAGTGTGGCTACATGGGTAGATCTTAGAGGGTCTGTCACGTTTCTAACCCAAACTGAGCTTGGTTTCTTGTCTGAGTGACTTGAATTCTTCAAATGAAAATTTACAAAGTATTGCTTTTGTTTAAATGTGGTTGATTGAACCAAGTTGATTTTCTCTGGTCACCCCACTAATTCAGGAAATACATTTAGGAAAGGACCTCATGACACCAAAAAAACTGGAGAGGAAGTGACAGACAGTAAGTCTAAGTTATCACCAAAAGTTTTGAAGACAGAGTAAATGGTAACTGAGCTAGTAATGGAAATCTGAGGTTTAATTGCCTATAGTGAGAAATGTCAATTATAGAGCAGAATGATTTCCCTCAGAACCCTAAAGGTTCCTACAAAAACTTAGGAATTAGAGGCACCAGGTATGTCTGAGAGCTGGAGTATGAGTGGACTAAACACAAGAGGCTTGGTGATAAGTTTTTGTCAGGAACTTAGATGTCCTCTCCTAAACAATGCCAACAGGTGTCTGTGCCAGCCAGACCCTAGACCAGCCAAAGTTAGAAGATTTACTCTCATTAGAGGTTGAATTAGAGAAGCTTGACATGGTAAATTCAGGTTCCCCAGAGAGTGAGTTTGGTATGTTGTGGCAGACAAATGAAAGTCCACAAACTGTAGGTCATATTCCCAGCCTCTTATACCGCAGGACTCTCAGAATATAGCGGTCTGACAGAACTTCATCCTCTGTGGGGAAACTATCCATCTTAAGAGAAAAGACCTATGTATACTGATACTTGGGAGTTGCCAGGGAAATGGGTTCCCCCCCTTCACCATCTATGAGATTCACTTAATTATTTTCCTGTGGTTGCTGCAATAAATTATCACAAACTAGTTGGCTTAAACTGTGAGGAAAGTTAATACTGTCACAGTTTTGGAGGCAAGAGTTCCAAAATATGGCAGGGCAATGCTCCCTTGTTGTGCTAAGGGCTCTAAGGGAGAATTTCCTTATTCTCTCAGCATCTGGTGATTCTAGGCATTGCTTGTCTGTGATTTGTCATTCCAGCCTCTGCCACTGTTGGTTACATTGCTTCCTCCTCTTCTGTCTAGAATCCCCTTCTACCTGTCCCTCATAAGGACACTTGCCTCTTGAACTGTTTAATCCAGGATGATCTCTTTATCTCAGGATCTTTTACTTAAATACAACTGTAAAGGCTTTCCAAATGTTCCAGGTATTAGGATGTAGACATATATTCTGGGGAGACACCATTCAGCTCACTACCCTGACACCCTGCACAAGCCCCAACTCTGCACACAGTTTGCAGTAAGTCTTTCGTACCTTGCTTTTTAAATATGAACACAGTTAGGGATCATCACAACTGAAAAAAATGTACAACACAAAAGTCCAAAACCAAAATATTAAGTAGGAAAGGAAAAGAAGTTAGAGGGAATGTGAACATTGAGGGAGCAGAAGATAACTTAAAAACTGTAATTGCTATGAACAGAGATAGAAGAGAAAGATTTCACTCACAGAGCAACAGATTGCTGTTTATATAAACCAATCAGCAGTTTAAAAAGCTCTTGAATGTGAAGGTAAAATACATTAAGGTAAAAATGAGGTTCTAATCATGTAAAAATATTGTGAAACTAAAATAAGATATTAAATAGTTGGAATACATATTTTATTAAACACTTAGAATATAGAACAAAAATAAGAAAATCAGTGCACTGGCCCTACATTCAACTAATTAGAATAAAAAGAACAGAGAAATGGAAAGGAAGAAATTAACAAAAAAATACTAGATGGGTTCCCAAAGCTAAAAAGACTTACATGGACAAATAGGAAGATCTCACATGCAAGGATGTTCTTTCCAGCACTGTTTTATAATGATGGTGATCAGAAGCAGTGCTGGTATCTGCAACTGGGAGAGTAGACAGGTAAACTGTTGGGTACATACTGTGACATATATCCAGCAATTAGGAACAATAAAAACCATGTAACCATGGAAACAAAGTATTTTTGAAGCATAGTTTAGTGAGAACAGTGGTATGATACCATTCACATATACAAAAAATTCATGTACACAGGACAGTACACAGTTTATAAAAATACATTCAAATAAAAAGTACACATTAACTAGATTATAGTGAGATGGGAGGTGAATGTTGTGATCAAAGGGAATGAATGCATTTAATTAATTAAAAATGAAAAGGCCCACTTAGGACTCAGAACTGTACTGAAGAGAGACCATACCAGGACATATCACCATGAAATTTCAGAGCATCTGAATAAAGAGACTATTCCAGAAGCTTCTGGGTGATTTAGAAGGGCATATATTTGATCTACAATGAACCAAGAATTAGAATAACACTGGACATCTCAGTGACAATATTGAAAATTAGAAACCAGTTGAGAAGTTCCTAAAACTTTCCAAAGTTGGGGGTGGGGTAGGGAACAAGATAGAATTCTATACCCAGCCAAAATAACAATTACTTGTCAATGGAAAAGAGTATTTTCAGACACTTTCTGAGAGTGTTACTAGAAGATGCGAGTTATTAACAAAGAAATAAAGAAAGAGAAGAATATGATATTCATGGAAACTAGATCCAATAGAAGAGGCAAAGAGGATTCCCAGCATGATTGGTGAAGGGGAGTCTAGGATGACAGTGATTGAATGCCTAGAAAGCAGCAAATTCAGATTTGAGTATGATTACAAGGGCTCTCAATATACCTTTCAGAAAGAAAAGTGCAACTAATATTTTCCCTGATGTGTATTATTGTATTCAGAAGATTTTAACTGTTTTGTCAAAACTACATACAGTTGACTACTGAACAACGGTGGGTTTGAACCGTGCAGATCCACTTCTACGCAGATTTTTTCAATAATACAGTACAGTACTATAAATGTATTTTCTTTTTGGATAGTCTTAACATTTTCCTTTCTCTAGCTTCTTTTATTTTTAGAATACAGTATATAATACATAATAGCATACAAATTATGTATGTTTATGTTATCAGTAAGTTTTCTGGTCAACAACAGCAGACTAGTAGCAGTAAAGTAATACTTGGTTTTTGACTCCACATGGGTGGCAGGGATGTTATTGTTCCTGACTCCTACTTTGTTCAAAGACCAAGAGTGTGTATGTGTGTGTGTGTGTGTAAATATATTTGTGTGAATATATATGTGTATATATATGTGGATATAAAAATGTTGGTTTCTATTTTCATACACACAAACACACTCTATCTAAACCAGTCTACAAAATATAAAAGTGTTACCACTAAAGAAATATAAGCATAGGGGCCTTCCTGGTGGCACAAGGGGTTAAGCACCACTCTATGAAGCAATCCACAGCCTCTGCAGCTCGAGTTCCATCCCTGGCCAGCCAGGGAGCAACCCACATGGCACAGTAGACCTCGCCTGGCTCACCCGCTGCTCCCCTCAGCAGTGTACTTCAGTCAGTCTGCCTGTTCTGTTCCCCGCTCTGTCTCTGGTGAATCCTCTCAGTCCCCACATCTTTGGCCTATACCCTAGCTCTTGTATGCATAAATAAATAAATCTTAAAAAAAAGAAAGAAATATAAGCATAGTAAGTCCTTTATGCTACTCAGTTGTCAACCAGATTTACACTGTTAAGGCTGGATCTTGAGATAGCCTTTCATGGTGCTATAATTGCCTTGAGAAGTTGGAGGAGGATAAGTATGGGGGGGGGAAAGGGACTATCAAAGAGTAAAATGTTAGGTTCCACAGAAAAGAAGTTGTTAAGCAATATCTAAAATTGAAAGATAAGGAAATAGCTATTGTGTAAATATAATATTTAGAAAATTGAAAATAAATAGCAAAAGAAACAGGTAAAATAGGTAAAAGTTTTGCCTCTGGGGAGTGAGATTCAAGGGTGGGGAGGTATGGCAAAGGACTGCTGTATTTTCGTAACACGTCTTTTAAAAATATTTGACTTTAAAACTCAACTTGCATTGCTTTGAGAAAAATAGCCATTAAATAGTAAAGTAAAAATATTGCACACACAAAATATAGTAAGAAAGGAGTATATAAGACCATTTATCTAGAATTAGTAGGGGAAGGACTGACCTGGGGAAAGACCAGATTCAGTGGGATTAAGGAGGAAACAATCATATCCTCCAACTGTGGGCAGCTAAGAAATAGTGACAATATGTGAAATGGTTATGAAGGAAAATAA